GAAGATAGACTTTGCCTGCTTTGCAATTTTATTAGAGATTGATCTTAACAGTGCAGAACATCAAGAGTGACTTGAAACATAGTCTGTGTGAGAACGCAAATGTGTTGTTCCTGTCATTCAACAGGAGGTCATGTGACCATTACCATTTCACTTCTGGTGGCCTCAGCAGCGAGGGCAATGAGAGTCCTATTGTCTGATAGTCTGCCCCGTCCAGGGAGCTTCCTGCTGTGAACTCTGTATCCCTCCATCACCTCCTTTGGTCTCATCGCTGCCTTTAAACCAAATGGATCTTCTGAAGGGTGAATTTGTTTAGGCTTATTTAACATAGAGCAGACTAAGGGTTTTCATACTCCTCATGCTGGGGGAAGATTATGGCCTCCAAAGGGCACGTCTGCAACAGTGATAGTGACTTCTGGCAATGGAGACAGGTGCACACCAGGATTCTTGCATCTTGCTGGAAAACACAGCTGTTTGACTTCTGGGGTGTTATTAGATTCTCAGACTCACTCGGGAATGGGAGATTTTGTTGTTTCTCTTCAAGTAGCTCTTTTCCCATCATAAAAATTTTGATTTTCCTGGCACATTTTTTCTCAAGCCATAACTTAAGAAGGAGCAGCATGAATACAAAAAATCCCATTTGAACAAAAACTTGGAAAGGCAAGAGGCCAAGATGTAGAGGTTCATTCAGCCAGGAGGTTTGGCAATATTCCTGAGGGACACAGGAGGGTCTTTTCCTTCCCATGCTTCCATTTAAGAGACAGTCTAAGAAATGGTTGAGGGAGAATAGAATCAAAAGCTACCATATCCTTTCTTTCTCTTTTTGAGTTTCTCAGTGTTGAGAGGATGAGAGAAGAAAGCTCTATGGAGCATTTGCAATTCCTTTTCTCAGCCAGCCAAAAACAGATCCATTTACTGAGTCCAAGAAGAACAGGAGCTTAAATGAGAATGCCAACACTTTGGAGTTAAGAATAAGTAAGGACAATTTCTGATCTTAAATTAGCACCACAAAACACGAGGAGAATTCTAATGATCCACATGTTACACTGATGTGATATTTTGGGAACTTGGAAGTTCTTTCACTGATCCGCCATTTTGAATTTTATGGATCCGCCATTTTGCGTTGTTGATTAAATGGGTAGCAGAATAGTGTTTCCCAGTTAGACCTGTTCAGACCAAAACATCATCATTACTGTTTGATTAGTTTACTGGAGGTTGAGGCAAATTGAGAATGTGATGTATTGCTTGCCAGTCAGCTGGCAGCGATCCATGACATTGGACCAGGACTTAGATTACTTCAGTGGAAAAAGCTAGTGAAGAGGGAAGGAAATCAACAAGGGAATTCATGTTTATTGAGCATATTCAGTCTTCAGTTCCACAGTAGGTACTTAATACCTGGTATTTGATGTAGCCCTCACAACTTTGAGATGTATTATTATACTCATTTTACAGATGGTCAGATGAGTTGACTCAATCACTTACAGTCTCACAGCACGGGATAGAGCCAGGGGACAGACCGGTGTCACTCTGAAGCTGTCGTCTTTCCACAACACGAAGGCAGTGATTGGAGCAACAAGGGACATTAGGATTTTGCTTTCCACATGGCTCCAGGGGCAGGAGCTGTCCTGCTAGTGAAATCTTATAAAACTCCATTTAGGTTAAAGAGAGAGCCCACCCCAGTGCCTCCAATGGTGACCCCAGTGAACTTTGCTGTTCAAGCTTGTGTTTTTCACCTGCATCTTTTCTCTTGCTTGTGAAATGCAGGCTGATGCCTGTAGCCCCAGTGCAACTAGGAACCCTAGACAGGGCTTTGTGAAGACAATAATCGGGCCCAGACCCAAGAATGTGAATATGGAAATTAGGAAAGCTGAGTTGGAGGAGCCCTACTTTGCTTGTCTGACCCTCACTCTTACCACACTGTGAAGTTGTGTCACTTACTCTAATATGAAACGTCTAATGAGTGTTGGAGGACTTCGCAATACTTAACACATGAAGCCTTACTCTATACAATCTTAGATATTCAGACTATTAAAAATTCAAAATCAGCAGGTTGAAAGTGTTCCTTCATTAAATAAACAAATGCTGTACACCTTCTTTGTATCAGGCTCTGCATTGGACCTGGGTATCAAATGTTTCCTAGGATGTGGTCCCTGTTCTAGACTACCGTCTAGTGCACTTTTGTAGTAGGACAGAGGAGAGGGCAGCTCCCTCCTCCCGTGGGTACAAAAGAAGACTTCCCAGAGAAAGAAGCATTTGAGTGGGAGCTTGAAGGATGAATAGGAGTTTTCCAGGAAGGGAAGGCAAGAATGAGGACTGGAGCTATATTACCACCATAGAAGCATATAACATAAGTACAGTAGTACACCAATGCATGTAGCACCACACAAGTTTGAAGTCACTACATTTATATTTTATTGCTGAGAGATCCTTATTCATGTATATAGCCTGCAACAAGATTTTAAATTGGGTTTTGTTGGTATAAATTTAGCTATCACCTTCGCTATCTAAAAATGTGATCTGGCATACTTTCATTAAGTACGTGTTGGTAGAGTTTATTTGGTGGTTATGGGCATTGTGACAATTTTGGCCACTGTAGGAGGGTGAGCAGTATTGGCAATCTAATATTTCTTGAGTTCCTGCTATTTACCAGCCTCCGTGGAACTGATTACATAAGTAAGCATTTAAATTTTACAACAACCCTATACATTTTTTTTACCCATATTTTATAGTTGAGATAACTGAAAAGTAAAATAGGAGAGTTGGACTATTTGGGTGTAGACACTAACTCTTTTACTTACCAGCTATTTTTCTGACCATGAGCAAGTTACTTACCTCTTCAAGTATCAATTTTCTCATTAGCAAATTGAGAGTAATATCGGCATACTCCTCAAAGGCTTGTCAAAGGATCAGTTGAGACGATCTGTTTGGCCCTTGGCCCAGACCTGGCTCCGTAATAAATCTGAATGAATGATAGATATTTTTAATTATTCTTATTCTCAGAGAGGTTGAGAAACTTGCCCAGGATGGGGTGTTTTAAAACCAGAGCTCAGATTCAATGAGCTACAGGCAAATTTCCAAAAAAACAAAGTTGTTGAAATGACGTATATTATAAACAAATAAGTGAAGGTCAACATTACACACTATCAAAGAAATCCTTGTAATTATGAGGTGGTGAGCAAATGGGTCTGAGCACAGGGGAAAAGAAACGCTCCAGAATTTTGAAAAGCAATACACAGAGCCAATACACAAATTTCCTCTTCTTGGATTTACTTTTCATTGTCCATTTTATCTGTGTTTTATCTTTTTCATAGTCTGTCTTATCTGGGTTGTTTTCCTTGGTCCTTCCCATCTTTACCATGAATATAGGGACCTATAGGGTAAGATAATAAAATAAGCTTGTAATTAGGCCTGTTATGTAGTTTCTTTTACATTTCGCTGTCTTTTCAACGTTCAGCTTTTCGGCCATTGCCAATTTGGACAATGCTATTTAACAACCACAAAATTTGACAGGAGTCATTCAAATTGAAAACCATTTAACCCTTGAAATCTTACTAAACTTAGCTTCTACAAGAAATCCAAATCTGAGGTTGGGTGATTCAGCTGAGAATTATGGTTGAAGGAGAAGCTTGTGAATGACATTTAGCAAGTGCTGTTCTCTGTTGACACTGTTGTTTGATAATCCCTTCAAATTTGTGAGTTTAAGCTTCAGGCTGATGCCTGGAACTCATAAGAGACACTGACATCCCTTGAAGACATAGCTCTTAAATGTCCAGTGGCAATGTTATTTGGTTTTTAGCTTTTGCAGTGCTTTCTGGAGGGATGCACTTTAATGATATAGCAAATCCTGGGAAAACACTTTTTCTGGTTGTAGTTAAGGCTTACGTGGTGTCTCCCGACTCAACAATCTAAGGAGAACATATCAGTCTGTGTAATAAGGTGTCTCTCAGAGCAGCAGGCAGAAGGAAGGTTGTTTATATAAATTTTTGCTTGGATAACCCTGATTGTAAATTTTTACCACAGCTAAATGATCAATCAAATGGTGAGCAAACTTGTACAGGTCCCTTCGTAGATGTGTTCTCATTAAACCTGTTTCTGCTAAGACCTGTAGTCTGGGCACCACTGATTTCTCAGTTTCCTTATATAGCTGATTTTGCTTTAAATCCTAGAAGGTTCCCACACTTTGTCAGAGTGTGTTTGGCTCCAGTTAGTAGTGAGGGTAACTGCAGAGAATCTCCTTGGGAGCTTGTGACAGGGCGGTATTAGAATTTATTAGTTTCCCCATCCCTCCTACCTTTACTTCAGCTGCGGAGCTGTTGTTGCTTCCTCATGGCTAAAGCAAAGGCGATTACTCATCTTATTAGAGCACTTGTCTGGAGACTGCTAAGCCTTCTGGAAGGATAGATGAATCAGAATTGCTAGTTTATCTTGTCTGCAAGCAGGAGAGTTGACTTAGGAGACTGTGAAACTTCTTGGTGTGGATCAGAGTCTAAATCAAGCCCCCGTGCCTTTAGGAGGGTTACTTGCTGGCCCCTAATGGTTATGGATATTCAGGCTGTGTGCCCACCCAAATCTCATCTTGAATTGTAGCTCCCCCAATTCCCACATGTTGTGGGAAGGACCCAGTGGGAGCTAATTGAATCATGGAGCGGTTTTCCCCATACTGTTCTCATGGGAGTGAATAAGTCTCATGAGATCTGATGGTTTTTTAAGGAGAAACCCCTTTCACTTGGTTCTCATTCTTTCTCTTGTCTGCTGCCATGTAAGACGTGCTTTTTGACTTCCACCGTGATATGAGGCTTCCCCAGCCTGGTGGAACTGTGAGTTCATTAACCCTCTTTTTCTTTATAAATCACTTACTCTCCAGGGATTTCTTTATCAGCAGTGTGAAAATGGACTAATGCATATATTTTCACACATGGTCCCTAATGTTACTACACGTCCCTGTGTGAGTTTACCCCACATGCATTGGAAGCAGGTGAGAAAAGGTGGTTTTGGTCTAGAAGGCAGGCAGTTGCACTGCATATGATTTAAGACTAAATTAAAATGGGGTGGTAGTGTTTAACGGGTGCAGAGTTTCAGCTGGGAAAGAGGAAAGTGTTCTGGAGTTGGATGGGGCAATGGTTGCAGAACCTTGTGAATGTACTTAATGCCACTGAACTGTACACTTAAAAATGGTTATGATGCTGGCCTGGCATGGTGGCTCACACCTGTAATCCCAGCACTTTGGGAGGCTGAGGCAGGTGGATCACCTGAGTCCAGGAGTTTGAGACCCGCCTGGGCAACAAGGTGAAACCCTGTCCATACTAAAAATACAAAAAATTAGCTGGACGTTGTGGCGTGCGCCTGCAGTCCCAGCTAGTCAGGCGGGTGAGGCAGGAGAATCACTTGAACCCAAGAGGCGAGGTTACAGTGAGCTGAGATAGCACCACTGCATTGCAGCCTGGACAACAAGAGTGAAACTCCATCTAAAAAAAAAGAAAAATGGTTACACTGGTAAATTTTATGACGTGTGTCTTTTACCACAGTTGTGTTAGTTTGCTAGGGCTGCCATAATAAAGTACCACAGGCTGGAGGGTTCAAACAATAGGAATTCATGTTCTCACAGTCCTGGAGGCTGGAAGTCTGAGATCAGTGTGTCAACTGGGTTGGTTTTTTCCATGGCCTTGCTCCTTGACTCATGGCAAAAACCGCAGTTACTGTTGTACCAACCTAATAGCTGGCTGTCTTTCTTGTGTCTTTCAGTGGTCTTCCCGCTGTACCAGTCTGTGCCCTAATTTCTTCTTCTTACAGTGAAACCAGTCAGATTGGATCAGGGCTCACCTACATGACTCCATTTTAGGCCCTATCTTTAAATATAGCCACTTTATGAGTACAGGGGCTGGGGCTTCAAATAAATATTGGGGAAACACCGTGGAGCCTGCCACAACCATGACAATAGAGCAGATTGGACTTGGTTATTGGAGGGAGCCCAGAACTTCAGACTTTTCACTCAGGTTCTCAAATGAAGCACAAGAGTTTCCTGCAAGCTTTTTGGAAATCCACGTACCTAGGGACTTTTAGAATCTCCATACAAAGACCAAGATATTTTCAAATACCTCTCTGCGAGCAAAGTCTGGCAAGACAGAAGGACAGAATCCCATCCCTTTGATAGCTAAAACTAGAGCTATTTGTCATTGGAATATGTTTGGGAGTGATGATTGTATTTAATTTTTAAACACTCATTTGAATGGAGGTAAGTTATGTTGTTTCTACACATGAATCACTTACGTGGTGGTTTGGTAGAGGGTCTGGGGTGAATCCACCTCTTACTTTCCAAATACCCACAGATCAATACCAGCAATTTCGCTGCAGTGGAGTCCAACACAGGTGCTCCACATTCCCTGAAATGGCCCCAACCCTGTTAGATGCATTAGAAGAAGGAAATGTCCATACCTTCCCTAGGTGATGAACCAAGGGAAACAAGCACTAAAGGGAGAGGAGGCAGTTATAGCAGTGCTGCTGTGATTAGCTAGAAGAAAGAAATCCATACATTTCTTCCTGAGTACACAAAATTAAAAGCTAAAAAACAGAAAATAAAAAGATTGCCCTCTCATTCTCCTAGCTGCCGGTCTCCTTGTAACATTTGTCAGACGGGAAGAAATCGATGGCTTCATTAGGCCAGGCACAGAGCTTGGGAGATGTAAAGCCTGCACAGCCTGTTTCTCGTGCTCAGCTGGAAAACACACGTCCCCATTCCAATTTCAGGCTCAGGCAAGAGAGACTCTTTTCCCCTTCTTACCTGCAGACCCGCTTAACACGTGACACTTCTTTCGGCTTTTGTTTCAATTAAGAAAGTGCAGCTTGGCCCTATTTACTTATTTCAAGAAAGGGTTGTAAGAATAAATGTTTAAAAGCTACTTGGAGGAGTCACTGAAAGGAAGACTTCTGGGAATGCGGGGGAATTGTTGCATTTTCATGCTAAATTATGATGACCTTTGATACGTATTTTCAAGATAGTAACAAGAAATAAAGCATCGATGGCATTTCAAGCCACAATCAGAGCCTTAGCCTCAATTGCCCAGCTGGGGAACCTGGAGACAGCAGTGCGGTGAAGAGGTACAATCTTGATTTCGGAAACTGTTTGTAAATCAGGGGAACAAGGGTAGGGTGGAAAAAGGAAATTTAAATATAAGTTATTTAGCTCTCAGCTGTTTAATCTTAGCAAATGCAGTTTCAAGGACAGGTCATTCCTTGGACTCAGTTACTGAGTGACCTGAGAACCAACAGGGTAGAGCTCTGTCTGGGAAAGCCCCCCGTTTCAAACCCAGAAAGCCTCCCAACAGTTGAGAAATGGAGAACCCCAACCTGCCAAAGTGGGCCAGAATGTCGGGAAAAGTGATCGGCATTGTGCTGGGGGTTGGGTGGGCAGCTCAGACCAGAAGTCAGCTGGGAGGGAGGTACTGGGGTAATTGAGCACCATTCAACCATTCGAAACATGGCAAGGCATGACCTACTCTCTCGTGCTGAATTTCAATAGGTATATTTACAACCAACTGTAGTGTTCATTAAAGGGAACTCAGGCCACTGGGAGAACATCACCTTGAGAAGTCAGAGAATGCCTGAGCTCCCCTCTCCCTGCGGCCTGCTGATCTGGGCCCTCCTTCCTCAGCAGGCAAAGAACTTCAGAATCAGCACACGGTATCTTCAGCAGTCAACTCAGCGTGAGGAGTGGAGAGGCTGGAAGGAAGAATGAAACTATGGCGAGGCACTGCCTCCTGGTTCACTGAGGTGTTTGTGTTCATGCTTGAACTCTGACTTCCCTGTCTTGGTTTGTTCAGGCTGCTCTAACAAAATAAGTGCTAATACCATGAACTGGGTGACTTAACAACAAGCAATTATTGCTCAGAGTCCTGGAGGCTGGGAAGTCCAAGATCAAGGCACTGGCAGATTTGGAATCTGGGAATTTGGAATCTGCTTTCTGGCTCATAGGTGGCACCTTCTCTCCTCATTCTCACAGGACGGAAGGGGTGAGGCAGCTCACTGGGGTCCCTTTTGTTTTTTTTTTTTTTTTTTTTTTTTTAGACAGAGCAGTGGCACGATCTCAGCTCACTGCAAACTTTGCCTCCCGGGTTCAAGTGATTCCCCTGCCACAGCCTCCCAAGTAGCTGGGATTACAGGCACCCGCCACCACTCCTGGCTAACTTTTGTATTTTTAGTAGAGATCGAGTTTCATCATATTGGTCAGGCTGGTCTTGAACTCCTGACCTTGTGATCTGCCCACCTCAGCCTCCCAAAGTGCTGGGATTACAGGCATGAGCCACTGCACCTGGCCTGGGGTTCCTTTTACAAGCACGCTAATTCCATTCATAATAGTTCCATTCTCATAACCTATTCACCTCCCAACCACCCCCTCCTAATACCATCACCTTGCAGGTGAGGATTTCAACATGTAAATTTGGGGGGGACACAGTTATTCAGACCAGAGCCTCTTTCATCCATCCCGGAGCTCAGATTCATATTTGAACCTTTTTTCCCGTTACTGTGAGGGCTTCTTCTGAGACTCTCCATGGTCAACATTCAGATCCCAACTTGGGGCCAGGTGTGGTGGCTCACACCTATAATCCCAGCACTTTGGGAGGCTGAGGCAAGAGGACTGCTCAAATCCAGGAGTTTGAGACTAACCTGGGCAAGATAGCAAAACCCCATCTCTACAAAATATACAAAACTTAGCCAGGTGTGGTGGCAGTCACCTGTAATCCCAGCTACTTGGGAGGCTGAGGTGGGAGGATCACTTGAGCCCAGGAGGCGGAGGTTGTAGTGAGCCAAGATTGTGCCACTAGTCTCCAGCCTGGGAGACAGAGTGAGACCCTGTCTCAAATAAGTAAACATTTAAATAATAACAAAATCCCAGCTCGGGGTTGAGATCATGCCTGCCACATCCTCACAGATGTGAGTAGTGTGGGGCATGAAGAACAGAGGGGCAGATGGGAAGGTCAGGCTTCATACCACAGAGAAGCAAACAAACCAACAGAAAGGCGGGGGCTCCTGGCTGGCTCTGGAGATGCGAGGATCATCTCTTCTGTTTCCTTCTGCCTGTGGGGCCCGGCGCCAGGGCTGTCTCTTCTCACACGATTTTACCCAACTTTGGGCTTCCCTGGGCAGGAACAGAAGCCAGAGGCAGAGGGCCAAAGTGGCAAATTGTACCTTAAAATGAGGACACGAAGTTTCTGAGCCAAAAGTCCACATGACTGGGGCCTTTTCATTAAGAGATTCTCAAGGGAGCTTTCCTTCTGAATAGGTTTCCCAAGAGGCCGGAGCAAAGCAAAAGACATGTGGTGAGGCTTGCGCCAAGTGGCTCTCATGGCCATCTTGGGAGGCCACACAGAGGAAGTCGCCAAGTTGAGTCAAAACTGTACCAGATCGTGAAGCTGTTCACATGTAGCTTCTTCTCATCTCTTCCTCTCCAGCTCCCATGAGTGCTCCATGCCCTTGCCTGGCCAGTGCTACAGGCAGCATCTGGCAGGCATGACATTGAGGCAGGAATTTTAGAGCAAAAAGGGTCCTTGCAGGTTGACTAATATAAAATACTGCCTTCCAGTGGGAAAACTATCCCCCAGAGGTCATGTGATTTGACCAGTGTCAAGCATCAGCAGGGCCAAGACCACAGCCAGGTCTCCTGACTCACTCTGCCATTTTGTTTGTTTGCTTTTGGTTTTTTTTTTTTTTTTTTTTGGAGACAAGGTCTTGCCCTGTTGCCCAGGCTGGAGAGCAGTGGTGCGATCATGGTTCAATGAAGCCTCCTCCTCCCAGGCTCAAGTGATCCTCCCACCTTAGCCTCCTAAGTAGCTGAGACTGAGGCATGCATCACTACTCCTGGCTAATTTTTGTGTATTTTTTGTAGGGATGGGATCTTGTTATGTTGCTCAGGCTGGTCTCGATCTCCTACGGGCTTTTCCTTTCCTCAGAGCGAACCTGTCTATGGTGAAACAGCAGAGTGAATAAGAGTGTGGGCCCGGCTGGGCACAGTGGCT